GCTACCTCATTGATGAAAGAAATGCAAATTGAATAACACTTCGCACACCAGTATGGCTAAAATTTTTAAAAACTGATAATACCTGAGATTTACAAGTCTATGGAACAACAGACATCTCAGGAACTGCTGTTAGGAGTGTAAGTTGGTGCAACAACTCTAGAAAATACGTTGGCATTCTTTACTAAAATTAAATATTTACAGGTCACATTTTCTATCAGTTCTGTTCCTTGATAGGTACTCAGTAGGAAACATGCCCATGTGCCTCAATGAATAGACACCAATTATGGTAGCCAAAGACAAGATAGAACCCAATGTCCATCCACAATAAAATGGATAAGGACATATATTTTCATAATAGAGCACTATACCGCAGTGAAAATAAACAAAATCCAGCTATGTACAACAATGTGAATAAGTCACTCAAAATATGGTCAAGGAAAAAACTCCTGCTCCATTTGAGCCTCCAGGCCCACTCTCCATCCTCTCTCCACCTCTGTGTCTAGGAGCCTGGACCATATGGATTTCTTTAAATGGCTTGCCCTCTGGCTTTGGTCCACTCTTGTCAATAAGAGGCAGGTGAGAAGGCAGGAGGAGAGAGGTTTAGGATATTTGTCCCTTCAGACTCTCTCTGCCAGGGCACAGTTGGTATGTTTCTCTGCCAAAGGTCACATGTGCTGTTGGCAGCTCTCCCCAACAGCAATAGGAGTACAGGGGTCTTGTAACTGCTTGCCCTGCAGGCCTATGGGTAATAAAGGCTCCCCACATCCCTGCTATTGTTAGACCCAGATGCTACAACATTCCTTGTTGATTCTCTTTAATCTTATACACAATTTGTATACAGTCTCTATGAAACTCTTAAATCTTTCTTTTGAATATGCTATTTGTTTCCTGCCAGGAACCCATACAAAGCCAGACCCAAATGTTTACATTTATATAAAGTTAAAAAAAAATAGACCAAAAGTAAAATACAGCTTGAGGGAATGCATACATAGGTGGTATAATTATAGAATAAAGGAGAGAAAAAAATTACCATAAAAGTCAGGCAGGTGGTTAATTTGGGGGAGGGGAGTGTGAATGGGAAAGAATACATAAGGAGAGCCTGGGGTACAGCAATGTTCTATTAACAACCTACCTGGGTGATGGTTAAATACTCCTTTGCCTTATAATGATTTATTAAGCCTGATACATTTTCACCTTATGTTTGCCATTGTTCACCATAAAAACTGCTCAAAAAATAAATTGAAAGAGAAATTTTATTTGATTGCTGCATCCCATTAAGTGCACTTCTGTTTTAAGAACATAGATGTCAAGTGCATAATTTAATCAGCCTCACACAGTTTGGAGAGAAAAGAAGAAATCAGGAGTGTTGCAAGAGTTTCCTCTAATTGTACTGAGATTAAACCAGGGATATCAGTTGACAAGCATCTGGTTGATGTAGTTGGCCTAGAGAAGATCAGGAGGAAAGACAAGAATAGAGAGAGACGGAATACTTGAGCCACAGGGGTATGATGATAAAGGAAATAAAAAGGTTAGTAAAAGATTTCAGAAATACCCCAAACCAAGTTATTGTTAGTATTACAAAACTATGTACATACAAAAAGAGTACACAATGAATGTATTTACATCTGGGCTTGGGTTATTAACATGACAACAACTACATTTGATATGTTCTTTTAATTATTAACCTCTGTATAATCCTTGTGGTATCTAAATAATAATAGCTAGCCAAAGTCGGTTTGGCTCAGTGGATAGAACATCAGCCTACAGACTGAAAGGTCCCAGATTCATTCTGGTCATGTAACTTGGTTGCTGGCACATCCCCAGTAGGGGGTGTGCAGGAGACAGCTGATTGATGTTTCTCTCTCATCGATGTTTCTAGCTCTCTATCCCTCTCCCTTCCTCTCTGAAAAAAATCAATGAAATATATTTTTAAATAAAAAAATAATAATAGCTATGTAGAAAATTTGAAATGTTTACTTGCCCAGACCTATAAAAGAAATATCTAAACATCAGATGTGTTTTCTAAAAGGCAAGTTTGTTCCTTGTCCAAATTAGAAGTAAAATGCAAAATATTTGGAAAATAAATATAGGTGATAGGATGAATGCTGGCTATTTTAGATCAGTCATATCAATGGCTTGTTAAGTCATGGTGCAATCTACTATGTGGAAGAACTACAGGTTCCAATCTTGTACCATTAGGTGCATGTATTCAAGTCATACAAATACAAACTTACTTGTGCAGTGACATTCCAAATTATATTGTACATAGCCTAATAAACCAAGAGATAAATGCTATCTCTCAGGAGTCTCAAAATTTCCCATACATCATAAAATTATGAACAAAAATAGATACAAAGAGGCATCACACAGACTGTCAAACTTCAGCGGGAAGGCAGGGGGAGGTGGGAGGCGGGGATAAGAGACCAATCAAAGCATAACCAATAGACACAGACACTGGAGGATATACACCAAAGAGAAGTAATTATTTCCTCTCCACTGTAAAAGGAGGATTAGATATCTATTTTGCATTCTTCTTGCCCATCTGCATTTTTGAAAAAATTATAAGCTATTAAACTACTTACGAAGTACTGTTCCCATTCACAGATAGCGAAAGTGAAGTAGTGATGACCTAAGTACCGTATTTTTCGGACCATAAGACGCACTTTTTTCCCCCCAGAAGTGGGGGGGGGGGGGAAGTCCCTGCGTCTTATGGTCCAAATATAGCCTACACATATACTTTAAAAAAAAAGTTTTCTTACTTGCCCGGCTCTGTGTGGTCTCTGTGTGCTTGCCCAGCTCTAAAATGGTTCTAAATGCTGCTGTTTACTTTACAGGGTTGATTACATGTGTTTATGACTGTGATGTTGGGTTTTAATGCACATAAAATATTTTAGGACACTATTTGTTTCAGAATCTTTTTTTCTTCATTTCCCTTCTCTAAAAACTGGTGCGTCTTATGGTCCGGAGCGTCTTATGGTCCGAAAAATACAGTAACTTTGCCACTAGACCTCAGAGATTAGGGAACTAATATAGGGTCCCTCCAGGTCTTAGTCTATTTTTTAGCCCACTACCTTCACTGTCTTCTTTTTTAAGAGTGCAGCATCTTGAAAGCATCTTTTGGAGACACCTCTGAGGTTAATGCCTTAGAAAAACCTATCAAACATAATAACTTCAATAGAGACCATTTCACATTACTTTTACCAATCTATTTTTCTTGGTTCAGGCTCTCAAAAAAATAAAAAATAAAAAACCTAATTTTTTCCAATGACACTGTTCACATTGATTCTAGTTTTTAACAACATAGGAAAAGATTTAAGCTCGTTGTCAATGAGGCAAAAAGAAAATGGCAGTAGAATTCAATTCTCCAGGATAGAGAGAGAATATGCAAATACATCTTCATATTAGGAACCATCAGTACTGCATTACCCAGCAACCACTACAGAGGCTGATGGGAACAACACTGGCAGCTTCATGAGGCCCTTCGAGAAATCTCTCTCCTCTGCTTCCACTCCACCCCAACTTATTCCCAGATTATTCTTTGTAGCTTTTAAGATTGCCAATATAAGTGGCTCCAGAGCCCTGAATTATGAATTTGTGGTGAAGAGAAATAGGAAATGTGGGATATGGAACTTCGAGAGAATAGAGAGCTCTGATGACATATATTCAGTCTAACTCCCTCACAGGACATAAAAAATAAAATAAAAAATAAAATAAAAATCAGACCTTTTAATTCATTAACAGATGGTGGGTTCTGCTTTTCAAGGATTTGCATCTCTATGAGGAAGTAAATTCGTTTGTCTTGTTTACCCAATACTTTTTCTAGGACAAAGGAGTTGGAGTAGACCCGGGGGTGCCTCTCAAGGAGAATACAGGAAAGAGGACCTGTAAGTGCTGAGTGACTTACCATGACTCTCTCACCACCTTTCCCGGGAGCTGCTATCTCCCTTCAAAGTCAGATCTTCTACCTCCTTCAGGCAATGTTTCCCTTGAGATACAACTTACTTCTATCCGTATAGCAATGTTCATTGGCTTGGATCCAGAGGACTGAGATGGGAAAATGGATTGAGATGGGAAAGACAGGTCCAACCATTTACCTGCTATGTTACCTGGAAACAGGAATTAGATCCTAAGGGGATAATAAACAGGCTAATTCAGATTTGAAGAGTCAGAGACAGGTTAGGCTGGGACCTAGTCCTCAAGGAAGGAGATGAGAGTCAAGCCAGGGAGTCTAACATGCAACCAGGTACAAGAACAACATAGAGGCCTAACTATGAAACAGAACTAAAAATCAGGAGAAGTAAAAGAAAGGAAAAGAGCTGGTCAGAGATGAGAGTATGAATTGTCTATGCAATTTTGGATTGGGAAGCCTACTGCTTGTTTTTAATTTATCAGAGAACAGAATGCTGAAATTGTATTGGATTAGCTTAAAAGAGGTACTACTATTTGTAAGAATGTCCTCTACATCTCCATCTCAAAAGCCAGTAGGAATTATCAGATTCATTTTCTATGCAAAATGATAAGAGTCATTACCTAAAATTCTACTTTATCACTCCTTAGCATGTTTGTCAGTCAGACTGTAGGTTGTTAGCAAAACAAATTGACATGGGCTGATAAGCAAAAAACATATCCCATAATCCATAGAAGAGCTAGTTGGGAAGCTGAGAGCAAGGCTCAAGGATAACCTTGGTTATAATGTCAAAAGCCATGGGATAGCTGGCCTGTTAAAGAGCAATCATCATTTCTAAGGCCCCACAAAGACTACAGAAACCAACTGTGGCCATTGTCACCACTACACCAAAAATCACAAGGCTACACATAGGCCTGTTTGCTCATACTGCTCCCTTTTGTATCACATTTTCTCGTGGGTATATCTAATGGCTGAGTCCTGGACCACATGCCACATTTTAGCTGCAAGAGAGGCTATGAACTTGTGGTTTGACTCGACAGTGAGGATGGTAGGACTCAAAAATGGAAACTTCCGATATGAGAATATAGCTTGAGTGAAAAGGCCTCAGCGGGGACTGCTGCTTGCGGGAGGCTTGCCCTCCGGGTCGGGAGGATCAGAGACGTCTCTATGGTCAAGTAAACATAGAGCGGTGCCTCCCCTTCCCGCGTGGTAGGACTGCGCATGCGCCGGGGCTGCAGCTTTGGAAAGATGGCGGAGGAAGAGCAAAGGAAAAAGATCCCTTTGGCTCCAGAAAATCTCCTGAAAAAGAGGAAGGCTTTATCAGGCGCTCAAAGCCACCGAGGCAAAGCGGGCACTGTTGGAAAAGAAAGAGCACAGGAAAGGAAAGGATATCAGGTTTAAGCGACTGGAATGGTTCCCACACGACGCGTGGCGGCAACAGTGTGACAAGGTGTGCCTCAGACAACTAGACGGGAAGCCTTATGGTTTGGAAGTGCCCGATGAACATTCCTTGGCCTTTGTTGTACGCATCCAGAGGATCAGAGGGGTGAGCGTAACGGTACAGAAAGCCATGGCAAGGCTTCGCCTGAAGAAGATTCTCAGTGGTGTCTTTGTCAAGACCATAAAAACGCTGCGTACAGTGGAGCCTTATGTGACCTGGGGATTTCCAAATCTGAAGTCTGTCCGGGAGCTCATCTTGAAACGTGGGCAAGCCAAGGTCAAGAATAAAATCATCCCTTTGACAGACAACACAGTGATTGAGGAGCATCTGGGGAAGTTTGGTGTCATTTGCTTGGAAGACCTCATTCATGAAATTGCCTTCCCAGGGAAGAATTTCCAGGCCATCTCAGGGTTCCTGTGCCCTTTCCACCTCTCAGTGGCCCACCACGCTCCCAAGAACAGAGTGGGCTTCCTCAAGGAGGTGGGCACCCATGGGTATCGAGGTGGACGCATCAACCAGCTCATCCGGCAGCTGAACTAGACCAGAATACCTGAAAGCACCCTGCATTGGAAGCATGTGTTTTGTATTTTGGAATTATCCAGTATCTTCAAAGAAGATTATTTTCTGCTGTAGCTTCAGAAACCAGAGGGGAAGGGCCGGGGAAACATGGTGATGATGTCCCACTTCCAAAGGAAAAGTCCAGTGTGTTTTCTACGTTGGCCACTGCTGCCACCTCTGAAATCAGCCCAGGGCTCATGCCATGGAGGAGAGGGGCCTGTGTCACATCTCTACCCCAGCATGAGCACAAGGCGGCGTGGAGCAGGCCCAAAGCATACTGAACTTGGGGTTCCTGTTGCCTTGTTTGGAAAGAACTTGAAATACATTTAGAGGAGCACAAAAAAAAAAAAAAAAAAAAAAAAAAAAAAAAAAAAAAAGGAAACTTCTTCAAATACAGACTATTCAAAAAGTAATGGCAAAATAACTCTAGGAAAAATAATACTGAACAATTGGATAATCACATGCAAAAAATTTTTTTCAAAAGCTTTCCTACACCACATACAAAACTTTACTCCAAATGGATCATAGCTCTAAATGTAAGAACTAAATCTATATAACTTTTAGAAGAAAACAAAGAAGTAAATCTTGAAAACCTAGGGTTAAGCAAAGCCTTCTTGGATATAGCACCAAAAACATAAGTGATCAAAACAAAAGGATAAATAGAACTTCACCACATTAAAAACTTATGTCCTTCAACCTAGCTAATTTGGCTCAGTGGATAGAGCATTGGCCTGCAGACTGAAGGATCCCGGGTTCCATTCAGGTCAAGAGCACATGCTCAGCCGAAACCGGTTTGGCTCAGTGGATAGAGCGTCAGCCTGCGGATTGAAAGGTCCCAGGTTTGATTCCAGTCAAGGGCATTTACGTTGGTTGCGGGCACATCCCCAGTAGGGTGTGTGCAAGAGGCAGCTGATTGATGTTTCTCTCGCATCGATGTTTCTAACTCTCTATCCCTCTCTTTACTTCTCTGTAAAAAATCAATAAAATATATTTTAAAAATATATATAGAGAGAGAGCACATGGTCAGGTTGCAGGCTCAATCTTCAGTAGGGGGCATGCAAGACACAGCTGATCAATGATTCTCTCTCATCATTGATGTTTCTCTCTCTCCCTCTCTGAAATCAATAAAATTACATTTTTTTAAAAACCACTTATATCCTTCAAATGATACCATCAAGAAACTGAAATATGACATAGAAATGAGAAAAAATTGCAAAATATATTATTATTATTATTATTATTATTATTATTATTTTGCTTTCCCTTTGCTTCTTGGTGAGGGAGGGATTCCTGCCCTAGGGTTAGGGAGATAGCCAAACATACAATGAGAATGATAGCGATTTATTAGTCACATACACTCACAGCCCAGAAGAGGATGACACTGTGCCATGTAGGATCACATGGGAGCTGCACTCAGAGCCGAGTGAAGAGTAAGCTGTGGAGGTCAACTTGGTAATATCAAGCGGGTGGGATGCCCGCTGGGTCCCGTTAAAGGATATAATTGGCTTATTTGAATAATTTCATTGAAACTCACTAGTCAAGCATAAGTGGAAAACATATTTGGTCCATTTGATAAGGAGTGTTGATTGGCTAAGTAGCCATATACGTGGGAGCAGAGTAGAGAGGGGAGCAAAGAGTTGGCCATCACGGCCCTTCCAGTTTTTTTTAGATATCAGGTAGCATATGATATTGAACCTTAATTTGATGTCCTACACCAGTGGTCGGCAAACTGCGACTCACGAACCACATGTGGCTCTTTGGCCCCTTGAGTGTATCTCTTCCACAAAATACCATGGCCTGGGCAAGTCTATTTTGAAGAAATGACATTAGAAGAAGTTTAAATTGGCTCTCAAAAGAAATGTCAATCATTGTACTGTTGATATTTGGCTCTGTCAACTAATGAGTTTGCCAACCACTGTCCTACACCACCATAAGACATGAAGTTTTGCCCTGGCTGGTGTGTCTAAGTGGTTAGAACATCTGCCTGGCACTGAAGTGTGGAGGTTCAATTCAATCCCTAGTCAGGGCATGTGTGGGAGGCAAACAATCGATGTGTCTCACACCTCTCTCTCTCTAAAAAAAAAAAAAAAAAAAAAAAATCAATGGAAAGAAATATACTCAGGTGAAACAAAAATAAACAGACACCAAGTCTTATAAGGGGCTTGTTGCCAGGGTATATAAAAAAACTCTTACAACTGAACAATAAAAATACAAATAGCCCAACTTAAAAATGGCTAAAGAATTTCAATGGACATTTCTCCATAGAAGATATTCAAATGGCCAATAAACACATGAAAAGGTGCTCAACATTATTAGCTATTAGGAAAATGTCAAGAAATACCACTTCACACTCACCAGGATGACTAAAATAAAAAAGACCAACAAAAAACGTTGGCAAGGAAATACAGAAATTGGAGCCCTCATACACTGCTGGGAGGAATGCAAAGTGATACAGCTGCTTTAGAAAACAGTTTGGCAGTTCCTCAAAATGTTAAACATAGAGTTACCATATGAACCAGCAATTTCACTCCTAATTATATATCCATGAGAAATGAAAACATATGTCCACACAAAAATCTGTACATGAATGTTCACAGCAGCGTGACTTATAACAGCCAAAAAGTGGAAACAACACACATGTCTATCAACTGTTGGATGGATGAGTAAAATGTGTATTCATGCAATGAAATATTATTCAGCAATTAAAAGTACAAAAGTGTACTACAACATGAATGAGCCTTGAAAATGTGCTAACTGAAAAAAGATAGTCATAAAAGAATGCCTAGCATATGATTCAATTCACAAAAATGTGCAGAATAGGCAAATCCATAGGAACAGAAAGTAGATTACTGGTTGCCTATTACTGGGGACAGTGGGTGATTGTCTGCTAATGATGATAGGGTTTCTTTTTGGAAAATAAAAGTCTTTTCCAAACCAGAGAGGATCTGACCTGCATTACACCATTTGTCCACCATCCAGAACTGAAATATCATTGCTGACATGTACACATGTTTGACATTGAAATTGGAACTCAAAAGAACTGTTGGCCCAGGAAGAAACTCCCTACAGACTGATTCATTTGCCTCAATATAACCATTATGGCTTGTCTCATTTTCAGTTCTTATAAGTGAATTTCTAGTATCACATGATCTCACTCATCTAGGGGAAATAATGAACAACATAAATTGATTAACAAAAACAGACACAGAGACAGGGAAGCATCAATCAGACTGTCAAACCTCAGAGGGAAAATAGGAAAGGGTGGGAGTAAGGGAGAGAGATCAACCAAAGGACTTGTGTGCATGCATATCAGCCTAACCAGTGGTCACGGACAACAGAGGCATGGGGGCATGTGTGGGGAGGGGTTTGAGATGGGAATGGGGGGATGAGGACAAATATGTGATACCTTAATCCATAAAAAAATTTAAAAAGAAGAAAGAAAAATAAAACAGAAGTGTTTTAAAAGTAATATGATGATGGTTACACAACTCTGTAAATGTAGGAAAAACTACTAACTTTTATACTTTAAATGGATGAATTATATGATATATGAATTATTGAGATATAAAGTTATTTTTTAAAAGGTAATGAGTAGCCTGAATATGACTGGTTTAACTATTCTCAAATATCTCTTTGAATCTTTTACTTTAAAATGTCTTCACAAAATTTGGGAACTCTTCTCTCTGGCTGATTGACTACAGTAGCCCTTCTGATTCACAGGGAATACATTCCAAGACCCCCAGATGCTGCCTGAAACGGCAGATGGTAACAAACACTATGAATATACACTGTTTTTTAATGCATATATATATATACCTACAATAAAATTTAATTTATAATTTATGCACAGTAAGAGGTTAACAATAATTAGTAATAAAATAGAATAATTATAACAATAAAATAAGGCTTACTTGAACACAAGCACAATACCAGATCAGTCAATCTCATAAGCATGGCTCTAAGCAACTAACTGGAAGGCAGCATTCTCAGCATGGGTACACTAGACAAAGGAATGATTCACATTCCAGGTGGGAGGGAGAGGGACGGTGCAGGATTTTATCACATTACTCAGCACACCATGCAATTAAAACTTATAAAATTTTTATTTCTGGAATTTTCCATTCAATATTGCTGGACCACAGTTGGTTGTAACTGAAACCACAGAAAGCATATTTGCAAATAAGGGGTCTACTTTATTCCCTCATAAATCTCCTATAATCTTGCCAAATTTGTTGCTGGTGGCAACAGTAAAAAACATAAGCACTAAAGAAGGTAGATGAGAACTGCAATTTTATTTTTTTATTTTTTACCATCTGTGCAAACAAGGTTTAGGGAATAAGCTGATAATGTTTTTTAGAGGAATAAACATTAATAGAGACATACCAGATGATAAAAATGCATCTCAAAAAATGTTAAGTGAAAAAGATGAAGAAATTAGGATTAAAAAACCTCATGGACACAAGACAACATATGGTAATTACCAGAGGGAAAAGGGGTGGGAGGAGGTAGAAGAGGGTCAAGTGGGGTTAGATGGTGATAAAAGGAGATTTGATTGGGGTGGTGAACACACAAAACAATATGCAGAATGATGTATTATAGAATTGTACACCTGAAACCTACATAATTTTATTAATTTATGTCATCCCAATAAATTCAATTTAAAAAAAAATGTTATCTAATGTAAGGTCAAATAACCAAATAATGAAGACATTGTGTGTTGTGGAAACCTAAAACATCATTTGTAATAGCCATTCTCTAGGACAAACCCCACTGATCCTTGTCTCCTGGCATTATATTCTTATGGAGTCCCTCCTTTATTTCCCAACACTCATGCTGTGGGAAGCTGGCAGAATGTCATGATGATAGCCAAGCAAGCTATGGAGAGTTCCATGTGTCCAGGAACTGAGGCCTGCAAACAATCACATGAGTGAGGTTGGAAGTGTATCCTCCCCTAGTTGAGCTTTAAGATAAGACTGCAGCCCCAACTGACAATTTGGTTGTAACCTCATGAAAGACTATGAGCTAGAACCATTTAGGTAAGCTACTCCTGAATATATGACATAATATATTGGTTTAAGCTACCAGGTTTGAGGGAAATTTGTTATGCAATAATAGATAACTAATACACCATTTATGCTCTTTCCCCTCTAAAATACATTTCTTATCTGAGAACTTTTCAATATTTACAAATGATTTTCCAAGTTGCAAGGGTTAAAAGTCAAACCCTAACCACTCTGGGTAAGATTTTGATTTACATGTTTACAGTTTTAAGGGGAGGAAAATTAAATATCACAATAATTGTGTAACTTGTTCCTATCTGATTAGTTTTTTCCTCCTACCTCTATGACTGTTTCCACTCAGTCTC